GGGGGGGGGGGTGTGGAAAATATTATAAGCTTGTGTGCATGCAAAAGGATTTGATTGTTTCTGTCTCTCAGACATACACGGCTGTTGTATGATGGGGAATTCTCTAATACCAGCTTTTCCATGGAAGATAAAGAACACTGTCATGTACAATGCACGAAGAAAGTCTACATTCACATGCTGTTTGTGGTTGACGTATAACTGTGATGTAAGTAACCATGAAGTGATCATTCAAGGCATCATTATTTGTATTAAAGTAAGATAGAGGAACATTCTGAATTTTAAATAGATATGACAGCTTTTTTGCAAGGAGATTATGGTGGCTGTTGATTTAAAATTTGCATGCATCTTCATAATAGCAATCGATAGAAGTCAAGAATATTAGGCAGTTGAAATAGAGATTTTCACATCGTAGGCAAGGATAGCTAACTCTTCCATAAAAGGGTGTAAAATTGTTATAAATCCACATTTATTCAATAATGAGCCTCAGTTTGAACAGAATGGAAAGCACAACTCACAGATCAGAGGAACAGAATGGTCCTTGAATGATTGAAAGGGGTGTTTTGAACAAGGATCATATAGTGGTTTTGCACTGGTTTGGTTAGAATGCATTTGAATTTAATATATTTTGAATAAGAACACTGAATGGATTTTAATGCGCTAACTCTGTGTTAATGAATGAACTGTTCCCCTACACCAACATTAGCCTGCCCCACCTTCATTAAGGTTGCAGGTAAACAATAACACAAAGTATAATCGACCATTGAACAACATGGGTTTGGACTATGTGGGTACATTTATAGTCAGGTTTGTTTATTGTACAGAAATATATTTTCTCTTCTGAGTTTCTTAACATTTTCCTTTCTTGAAATTCCTTTATTGTAGGAATGGCATATATAACACATATAACATAAAATATACATTTATTGATTGTTCTTGATCAAATTCCTTGTCAATAGTAGGCTATTAAAATGTAGTGTTGGGGAGTAAAAGTAATACACGGATTTTTAACAGCATGAGGGGCGAGCACACTGAAATTTCCCTACTTTGGCTAAGGAAACAGTAAGATCCAGAAGGCACAGAGAACTCCTGTCAAAATCAACAAAAGCAGGCCCACACCAACATATATTAGATTAAATTTACAAAATACGGTGATAAAGAAAAACTCTTCAAAGCAGGAAGACATCTTTCACTTATCAGGGAGAACCATAAGGTTACCTCGTGATTTTTCAACAGAAACTTGGCAAGCCAGAAGGGAGTGGCATGATCTATTCCACGTGCTGACTGGGAGAAATAGGCAGCCAGGAATTCTCTCTCCAGCAAGGCTATCATTCAGAAGGGAAGGAGAGACAGAGTTTCCCAGACAAGCAAAATCTCAAGGAATTCCTCACCACTGGACTAGCCCTGCAGGAAATGTCAAAGGGGAATCTTGAAGTGCAAAGAAGACACCAAAAGTGACAAAGAAAAAGGATCCAGAAAGTATATAGAAACAAGAAAACAATTAATAAAATGGCAATAAATATGTATCAATAAATACTTTCAATGAAAATGTACTATACCTTCCAATCAAAACACATAGGGTCTCTGGATGGAATAAAGCACAAACAAAAACAACAAAAAATAAACCCCAGGCCCATCTATATGCTGCCTACAAGAGACTCCATGTAGACCTGAAGACACTTAAAGATAGAAAGTGAGGGTGGTAGAGAAACCTTTCTCACACAGATGAAGGTCCAAAGAAAGCCAGAGTAGCAATACTTAGGATGGACAAACCAGATATTTTATTCTTGTGTGGTAATTATCCTGCTTTGGTACCAGGGTAATGCTGGCCTCCTAGGGTTATTTTGAATGGGTTCCTTCTATTCTATTTTTAAGATTTTGATGAAGCATGCCCTAAATTTGGTTTTCTTTTTAATGTTTGTTAGAATTGACCAATGAAGGCAAGAGGCTGTGGGCTTTCCTATGCTGGGAGGTTTTTTATTCCAAATTCAACTTGTATATTTGTGATGGTCTAAGAAGATTCCTTATTTCTTGAGCCCAAGATTCATTTTTCAATCTTGGTAAATTGTGCGTTGTTTAAAATTACATTTTTTTCAATTTTGTCTAACTTGTTAGTATATAATTGTTGATAGTGATCTGTTATCACACTATATATTTCTGTGGTTATCTGTTGTGAGGTTTCCGTTCCATTTCTCCATTTGGTGTTTGAGTTCTCTCTCATTTTTTCTTAGTTAATGTAGTTGAAGAATTTCCATTTCTGTTTGTTTTGAAAAACCTGGGCATTATTTTCCATGTTATTCTTTATTCTGGTCTCTTTTATTTGTAATTTTAATTTTTTGGGTTTATTTATTTATTTATTTATTTATTTATTTATTTATTTTGAGACAGCGAGCATGCAAGCTGGGGCAAGGGGCAGAGTAAGAGAGACAGAATCTTAGACTCCTCACTGAGAGTGGAGCCCTACCTGGGACTTGATCCCACAACCCTGGGATCATGACCTGAGCTGAAATCAGGAGTTAGACGCTTAACGGACTGAGATACCCAGGTGCCCCAACTATTTTATTTATTTCTGATTTTTCCTTGGTATTTCCTTCTGCTCCTGTAGAACTGAATGTGGGGCTTGAACTTGCTAACCACGAGATCATGAACTGAGCCAGAGTCAGATGCTCAAACGACTGAACGACTCAGGCACCCCTGTTGTTGTTTTTAATATTTATTTGTTTTTGGAAAGGAGAGAATTCCAGGCAGGCCCTGCATGGACAGCATAGAGCCTGAGAATGGACTGGAGTCACAAACCATGAGATCATGAAAGCCAAAATCAAGAGTCTGATGCTAACCTACTGAGTCACTCAGGCGCTCCTTAAAGGCAAAGACCATTTTGTGTGTTTTAATAGGTCTATGTATGTCTGGTTCTTCAAAATCAGAGGCACAGTTGTTTTAACAATCATTTCTTGGGATGTGGAAAAGAGGAGAATGATCTTTCCTCTAAAATGTTGGGCAGGAGTTGCTTTCTGACCACAAGAGTACTGGTACAATTCTCAAGGCTGTAAGGGAGGGTGTCAAAATGCCATTGTGGTACATGCCTATGCTCTTGCTCTACTTTCCAAATGAACTTGAACAGTGTGCCAAAATGCACCTTTCTTTTCCCAGTTACCCAAAATCTGTATGGTGTGTTAAAGACCCCAGATTGATTGATAGGGAGATTCATACATAGATACATAGATGGATGGATGGATAGGTACATAGATGATAGATTTCTTCATGATGGAGTCCAGGTAAGTTTTAACTTTTTGAAATTCATAACCATTCTTTGGTATCGACTTCTTGCCATATAATTATCTATTGTGGGCCTATTTATTTCTATGGGATCAGTTGTACTGTGTCTGCCTTCACTTCATTACTTCTGATTTTAGTCAGCTTTCTCTGTCATTTTGATGATTAGATATAGCTCTGTTGATTTTGGGGGGTTTCTGAACACCACCTTTTCCTATTGTTGATTTTTCCTATTTTTGGTACATATTTTTCATTTTTGTTTTAGTTATCCTTTCTTCTGCTAATTTTGAGCACATATGGTACATTTCCTGAGTTTCTGAGATGTAAGAGAATGATTTCTGCTACATCAAGATGTGCTACACAATTCTCTATTAAGCTATGTGGTCAGTTCCTTGTGTGCAAGTTTATGTGTCCATGGAAGAATGAAGTCCTGGTGATTTCTTTCAGCTATATTCCTGATGTTCTCTGATTGATTTTAAGGTTCTATATTAGAAGTTGTGAGTACATTTATCCGAGAGTAGTACCTGGAATGATTTTACTTTTGTTATTTGATCTCTTTCAGCTGTATTTTCACCTGGCACGCAGACATTCCTGCCAAAGTCATGCATTGAAGCTTTTTCCCAGAAAGTGTCAATGAGTAGATATAAACATAGTTCACCCGAGAATGTACACTTATTGACAGACTGGAACAAGGGTAGGGAGAGTGAAGGGCACCAAAGATATCTGGGGACTCTTTTTCCAGAGAACGATGATGAATGTAATAAATATGGGGAAGCCTTTTATCAAAGCGCCAACCTTATTCCACACAGGAGTATCCCTAAGGGAGAGAATCTTTATAAATACATTGAATGTGAGAAAATTCTTAACCAGTCTTCCAATGTTGTTGATCAGAGGGTTCATGTGGGAAGAAACCATTACAGATGTAATAATCCTGGGAACATGTTTAGTCATTCATCAAGACTAAGCACACATAAGACAACTGGTACTGGAGAGGAAAGTTATATAGGTAACGAATTTGGAAAAGCCTTTGACCACCAACAAATACATACAGGACAGAAACCTTACAAATGTGAAGAATGTGGCAAGACCTTTAAATTCTGCTCAACCCTTACGCAACATAAGTTAACTCATATTGGAGAGAAACCTTTCCAATGTAAGGAATGTGGCCATGTCTTTAAACGGCTCTCAACCTTTACAGAACATCACAGAATTCATAGTGGAGTGAAACCTTACCAATGTAATGAATGTGGCAAAGCCTTTAACCGGCACTCATCCCTTACAAGACATCAAAGAATTCATACTCGAGAGACACCTTACAAGCGTAAGGAATGTGGTAAGGCCTTTATTCATTCACAACCGTCTGAACATCAAAAAATTCGTACTGAGGAGAAACCTTACAAATGCCAACAATGTGGCAAGTCCTTTAACAGGTCCTCAGACTTTATTCCACATCACAGAATTCATACTGGAGAGAAACCTTACCAATGCAAAGAATGTGGCAAGACCTTTAACTGGCCTGCATCCCTTAGGGTACATCACAGAATTCATACTGGAGAGAAACATTACAAATGTAAAGAGTGTGGCAAGGCCTTTACCCACCTCTCAAGCCTTACCAACCATCACAGAATTCATACTGGAGAGAAACTTTACCAATGTAATGAATGTGGCAAGGCCTTTAGGTACTTCTCAACCTTTACACAACATCGCGGAATTCATACTGGAGTGAAACCTTACAAATGTAAAGAATGTGGTAAAGCCTTTAACTGGCACTCAGCCCTTAAGACACATCAAAGAATTCATAGTGGAGAGAAACCTTACCAATGTAAAGAATGTGGCAAGGCCTTTTCCCGCCAGGCACATCTTAATGTACATCACAGAATTCATAGTGGACAGAAACCTTATGAATGTAAAGAATGTGGCAAGGCTTTTAGCTACATCTCAAACTATACACAACATCACAGAATTCATATTGGAGTGAAACCTTACAAATGTCAAGAATGTGGCAAGGCCTTTTACCGCCAGGCATATCTTAATGTACATCACAGAATGCATAGCGGAGAGAAACCTCACAAATGTCAAGAATGTGGCAAGACCTTTAACCAGCATTCAACCCTTAGAGAACATCAAGGAATTCATACTGGACAGAAACCTTACCAATGTAAAGAATGCGGCAAAGCCTTTAACTGGCAATCAGCCCTTAAAAGACATCACAGAATTCATAGTGGAGAGAAACCTTACCAATGTAAAGAATGTGGCAAGACCTTTAGCCAGCACTCATCCCTTAGAGAACATCAAGGAATTCATACTGGACAGAAACCTTACCCATGTACAGAATGTGGCAAAGCCTTTAACTGGCCATCAGCCCTTAAGAGACATCACAGAATTCATAGAGGAGAGAAACCTTACCAATGTAAAGAATGTGGCAAGACCTTTAACCACCACTCATCCCGTAGCAGACATTACAAAACTCATACTGGAGAGAAACCTTACCAATATGAACAATGTGGGAAAACGTTTTATCACTGTTCAACCTTGACTTATTAACACAGAATTCATACTAGAGCAAAGCTTCTAAATGTTAAGATTGTGACAGAATTTTAAGGACTCCTCAACTCTTATTCCATATCAGTAATTCATACTGAAGAGTAATGATACCCATTGGGAATGTGGCAAGATATTAAAGCAATGCTTAAACCTGGATTCTTCATCAGAGAATATATACTGGAAATGATTTTACCAATACAAAGAATTTGGCAAGCCTTTTAATCAGTACTCAAACCTCATTCAACATCACAGAATTCATACTCCAGAGAAAAATGATAACAAATGTGGTAAAAAAAGTGTTTCAGACTGCTCAAGCCTTACTCATCATCACAGTTCCTATTGTGGAGAGACGTTACAAGTGTAATGAATGTGGGAAACCTCTAGCTGGAACTCACAACTACCTCAACATCACAGTTATTATACAGGAGTGAAACTGGAAAATGTAAAGAGAGTGGCTGATCTTTAGCTGGAATTCAATCATGACCCACTATCCCCAAATGCACACTCAGGGATAATGCATGAATAAGGAAAGTCTTTTTTGAATATACACTTTAGAAAACGAACCATACAGAGAGGAAAGTAACCTGAAAGATATAAATATTTAGTCATCTAATTACCTGAACATCAACTGTCAATAAACGTCACAGAATTCACACTAGAAAGGAGTACATTGGTCACTCTATTCAGACCTTATTCTCCACAAAAATACTTAACCATGTGGGATAAAACAAAGTTGAACACTTAGATAACGAATAGGCGGGTATGCCTGAAAATAGACACGGGGCTGTTTTTTGCATAGGAATAAGTAATTTCAATGTGCTTTTGTTTTACCTTGGCCCTCTTTAAGATGTTGACTGCAAGTATTAATGTATTTGTGCTCTGAAATCACTTCACAAAATTCATTGATTCCTAGTGGGTGTTGAAAGTATGTGGCTGATTCTTCCTGCATCAAAGATATCAGATGCCCTTCCCTCTTAGGTGGGACTCCTGCATACCTGATTTTCCATGTAAGATGAAGGACAATATGATGTACAATCTATGAACAAACCTAACTGGAGAGGTCATTATGTTTCTAACACTGATGTAAGTTATTACGAAATGAGTGTTCAGAACATCATTCTTCAACATTTATTAAAACTAAAAACGTTTCTGAGTGTTATAAAAAAAGTGTTATAGTTATTGGTTTTGTGCAGTCCAGGCACATACTGAGACAACTTCTTACCAGCAATAGTTAGAACTAGAGAATACCAGTTGATGTGGTTGAAAGGAAGAAACCTTCACAGATATCAGAAACAGAGTAACTAACTCTTCCCTAACATGGCATAGGATTGTACATTGACATCTTTTAATTAACTCAGGTCTCAAAGAGTTTTAGTATGCAAAATTAAGGTGTTAACAAAATAGATTTTTATAAGATGTCTCCTTAAAGCCTCCTGGTAACCAAAAACCAAAACCTGTAGTAGATACACAAAACATAAAGAGAAAGGAATCAAAGTACACCACTAGAAAATCAACAAATCACAAAGAAAAAGACCAAAGGGATAAGAAAGGGGCAAGTAATTCTACAACAGCTAAAAACATGGAAAACAATGACAAGAATAACTCCATCCATACCTATGTCAATACTTATTTTAAATATAAAGGGACTAAATTCTCCAACCAAAAGATATATTGGCTGAAAAGAAAGAAGTACACAAACTAAGGATATGTGCTGCCTTCAAGAGACTCACTTCAGCTGTAGGAACACACTCAGGCTGAAAGCTCAGGTGTGGAAAAAGATCTTCCATGCCAATGGAAAACAAAAGAATGTGGAGTAGCCATGCTTACATCAGACAAAATGGACTTTAAGCCCAAGACTGTAAGAAGTCACAGTGCATGTCCTTACAAAATAGAGGGGTCACCT